GAGAATAATTCTTCCAAGTCTCATGATTCTTCTAAGTTCGAGTTCAAGAATAATCTATTATATTTTGAAGGACGCCTATATGTTCCAGAAGGAAAAGCACGTTTGCGTGTTCTTCAAGCACGTCATGACTTTCCAACAGCAGGGCACTTTGGATATAATAAGACTTTGGAACTCATATCAAGAGATTTTTGGTGGCCACAAATGTGGAAGTCAGTCAAAGACTTTGTACAATCATGTGATATTTGTTCAAGATCAAAAATTCCTCGACATCGACCTTACGGACTTCTTCAGCCATTACCTATACCAGAACAACCATGGTCTTCTGTTTCTATGGATTTCATCACAGATCTTCCAAACTCAAGATCTTATGATTCTATATTTGTGATAGTAGATCGTTTCACCAAGATGGCACATTTTATGCCATGTACAAAATCTATCACAGGTGAAGAAACAGCTAAGTTTTTCATTGATAATATCTATCGCTATCATGGATTGCCTAAAGATATCATATCGGATAGGGGAACTCAATTTGTGTCGAGATTTTGGAGGACTCTTTTCAAGATTTTAAAAGTGGACATAAAGCTATCTTCAGCTTTCCATCCTCAAACTGATGGACAAACAGAGCGCGTAAATCAAGTCTTGGAACAGTATTTAAGGTGTACCATCAACTACCAACAAGATGATTGGACAATCCTTCTGCCATTGGCAGAGTTTGCTTATAATAATACGGTACATTCCTCCACGCAACAAACACCTTTCTTTGCCAATTATGGCTATCATCCACGACTTGATACTTTTGATTTTTCAAAAGTTGATAATCTTGCAGCAGAAGATATGGCAAATCGGTTGTCAGAGTTACATGCAATAATGAAGGCGCAGTTGAAGAAAGCTCAAGAACGACAAAAGATAAATGCAGATGTATATCGTAAAGAGCAACCACAACTCAACGTGGGTGATAAGGTATGGCTACTTCGTCGCAATATCAAGACCACTCGACCTTGTGACAAATTGGACTATCGTAGGCTTGGCCCCTTTTCTGTTTCTGAACAGATCAACCCAGTTGCATATCGGTTACATCTACCGGAGTCAATGAAGATCCATCCTGTATTCCACGTGTCTCTTCTTGAACCATATAAGACAGTGGATATACAAGGAAGAAGACAAATGCCACCGCCTCCTATAGAAGTAGATAATAATGAAGAATTTGAGGTGGAAGAGATATTAGACTCAAGGCGGCGCCGAAATAAGCTGGAATATCTTGTTCATTGGTGCGGATATGATATTAGTGAGCGCACATGGGAGCCATCTAGGAATCTAGCAAATGCATCAGCTAAAGTCAAAGTTTTTCATCAACGACATCCATCAAAACCAAGATGAAAACCTCTCTTATAAAAGAGACAAGATTGAGGAAGTTATGAAGGCCTCAACAGTGATCAAATAACAGGGTGGTCTTCTCGCCCTGGAATGGCACACTATCGATGGCTAAGAGGACCCATCAACTATCTTCGAAGAGAACAAAGATCAGAGTATGTAGCAAATACAATTCGCCGCATATTAGATTTTCTCAATATATAATCACCGCTCTTCGTGGAACTCGTCCCTAGAAGGGGGGGTAATGTCACGGACATACATATAATTACCTATATGAATAGATAAAAGTATGTAAAAGTAGGTTAATTGTGTAATATCTTCTAGAGAAGCTTCTTAGAAGCTTCATAGACGCTGCTTTGACTTTATAGAAGTCTATAATTGACTTTTAGGTTAGAAACTTGGTCAACAAGTTAGCCATGTGCCACGCATGTTGGAAGCTTAAAGAACAAGCTAACTACGTGGTCCATCCATAGAAAACTTGCCTTGCAAGCAAAGGCATGTGGCCTAGAAAGTCAACATATATTGGAGGTCTTATAGAACATCGCCACGTGGCTTCTAGTTAGATAGTATATATAGAGGCAAGAGTGAAGCCCTCTTCACTCTTGTCAACTCCTTTCTTGCTTCTAGTCTAGTTTCAAGAGTCTCTAGTTTTCTTGTATTTTGGCAATAGCCATTCCAGTTTCTTTCTTAATATACATATTTCTATTTTGTCCTATTTCTTTTTGAGAAAAGTCTCACTTACTCTTTAGCTTTCATCGAGTTCTTGTCCTTGACAATTATATGAGGAGTTATTGGAGGATTATGATTATAACTTATTGAGAGTTGTGTGTATTTTGGACAAAGTAAGTCTATGATTACGAAAATTATGTGAATTCAAATTATTAGACTGAAGTTTGTTATTCCTGGTATTGGATGGAAATTATTGTGTTATGAGCGGTCTTTTGAGAGTGCAGGGTTGCACACTATTGTTATCAATTGATGAAGGAGTATTGTTAGTGGGAGAAAGCATCATAGTGTTTCTTAGTATTTTAGTAGTTCGGAATATAGTTAATTATGTGACCCTAACAAGCAAAATTCATGCACTTAGTCTTTCCCTATGTTCAAATTCCCCTATACAGGTTTATTCCGAAAGAAATTGTAGAATAAGTAAAACGACACTATAGTAGATAGATGAAAAACTTATTGATATTAATTCATCTATTTTTGCCTATAATTATATATAAACTATTACTTATTATTGTGCACCATGGTTGTCATGTGCCATAAGTTGCTACAAAATATTGCTTTGATTTTTTTTTTATATATATATCCTTGTTGCTTGTATAGACATACTAATTTCATAGTGAGTAAAGAAATTGAAAGAAAGCATTGAATCCCAATAAAAGAAGTATTAAAATAAATTCCAATGTTTGAGGGATTTTTAGACTCATTATAATTGAGAGTATGGAATATGGAGAGTATACAAGTAACTAAGATATATGGCCTAATAAAATTATTATAATAAAATTTTAGCCTTACAAAAAAAAAAAAAAAAAAAAAAAAAAAAAACTATCATTATATAACTCAAATTGTAATGAATAGCTACAAATCTCCTATGAGAGTTTATTATTCTTAGATCATTGTCATCATTATCAATATTATGGCTTCTAACAACTTCTAATAATGTATCCTTATATCACACAATAAAAACACCATATTACACTATAGCAACAAAAATAGAAACATGAATCTAGATCAATGCCACATTAAAATTCTATTGCTACAATTCAATGTTGTACTCTACTATATTCTAGGGCCATACTATACTCCAACACCATGATAGCAATCAGCAATCTTAACATATCTATTAGGAAAAGTTTCCAAAAACAATAATACTTAGTATTTAAGAACAACAATGTAAAATAATAACCTTTGTACTACATTCCACAAAAATTGAAGAAAAAAAACTTCTTCATAATCTATTCTATTTTAATTTACTACACTACAAAATTTTAAAAAATAAGATTTTTGTCAAATAAAAAATAAAGATTCTAAGTGCAACTTAGTAATGATATCTAATATGTCACAAAAAGAGAATTCAAACGTGCAAGTATATAAAGAAGAGCCTAAATTATAGTCAATGGTTAAAACACTATAGCTAAAGAAAGCCTTAAAATTATGATTTTTTTTTTCTTAATAAGACTTATAAACTTGATTTCATAAGAAAATCAAGTTAAGATGGCTTCTCTACCTAAATCCTCAAACCTCACCTAATACTATAAGGTCAACTATTCTAAAAACATTAAGTAGATGAAAATCCACTTAACTAAAGTATAGTACATCTATTTGACATATTTTGGCACTCAATGCCATATTATGTGACATAATTGTCAAAACTTGAGATTAAGGCTAATAGCTATCAAATGACCTCTAAAAATACTTCTTTGGCCAAAAATAACTTTACTATTGTATTATTATATTAGAAACATATTTCTAGTAGGAATTGACTTCTCACATGCTTTAATTCATGAGAATTTGTAATACTTGTGAAGATTAAAATTTTGACAATTTGAATTGAATTTGATTTATTCCAAATTACTTTAATTCATTTCTAGCTTATTTATGACATCTTTGATAATATAATTAGAAAGAGAAGCAAGATCTGCACTTTAAATCTCAACATCTAATGAGAATGAAGAATCACTCTAAATTCATACATAAGAACAAATACTTTTTAATAAGCAGTAGAGCGCAGTCCATGAAATGGAAAAGCAATTCGAAGCTGTTGAACCAATTGGTCAATATCAATTCCAGAAGGCTTCTTAACACGACAAGCTATACATTTTTAATTTACTGTCATCATGAAAGAAAACAAATAAGCTAATCAAGATATTTGAACAAATTATGATTCTTTTTCTTTTACTTTTCATTTCTTTTAAAAAGAGTTATCTTGTAATTTACTTTTTAATTTTTTTTACAGAAATCATTACTTTCATGATTACATACAAATCAATTTTTGGTTTAACTCACTAGATACTAACCAAAATTTGAAAACAATTGTTTGTAAATATTAACATCATTCTTAGAAACACTTAATAAGATTTCAAATTTTATTATTGTCATGTTAATTTTTGTATTAAATTCTTTACTAAGGGTTTGCAATGAGGAGTTTTAATTCAGTGCCACTTATTTGGAAACCCCGAAATTCAGCATTACAAGAGAAATGCACAGACTAGATGCAATCTTTCAGGAATAACATCGTTACTGTTGTGTAAGTGTGTTTATGTATGTGAGAATATATTTATATTTTTCTTTATTTATTTATTTATTTGTGTGTGTGTGTGTGTGTGGTTCTTTTCAATCCAATTAGTATATTTATTTTATTACTAACAGTAGTTTACAATTAATCAAAAAAAACTTGTTTCTATGTTTCTGAATGGTGTATGTTCTCTAAACAATTTTATTTTTATTACTATTTTTAAAAAAAATTCAAAATTACAAAATACAACATAATTCAAATAATATTGGTTTATTATGTAAGTGTAATTACATTTATTTATCTATTATATTTTATTTTAATATTTGAGCCATATTATTCTCTGATCTTTAAACTAAATCATAACACTTATTATTCTTTCTTCTTCTATCTTTTACATATATTTCTTAAAATCACACCCCATGACCTAAATATTTCAGGTTTCAACATTTTCAAATAATTATAATAATACTTTCTGCATGAAATTAACACATGGTTGAAAACATGATAGGCATGAAACAATTGTGTTCAAGGACTCTTGGAAAATTAAAATGCACAGTTCATGCACAAAGTAAAACCCTAAAACAAAGATTCAAACATTATTTATTTTGATTATTCATCAATTGACTTCCAAGTTACAAGTCCAATCTTGACATTGGAGGTGAGAGAAGATCAACATAAGAAAAATGGAATCTATTGATGAAGATGAAAACCCTATTTCCAAAAAGTGCAAAATTGCAAAAAACTCAATTGAAAGAAGACTTCAAGGAAAACAAGAGAAAACATTTACCCTGGACAAAAAAGTTTATATGAGCCATCCACTGGTGTTAAATGTACCAGAAGCCTCAATTGAATTTTCACCACAAATTGAGTCTTGCAAAGCTACAAGTAGTTCAAGTGCCAAAGAAGCTTGGAAGCGTAGACAAGGAAAATTCAAGCTTGCAACTCCTGAATCAGAAACTCAATACATGTGGTTGCCCTTTTTTGGTAAATCATTTATATAATAATCCAATACAATCAAAAAAAAAAAAAAAAAAAAAAAAAAACAATTCTACTTGTTGTCTTGCAAATGGTTTCATTTATATACTAATACCAAATAAGATAAAATTTGTGAAAATAAATTTGTAAAAAACTTGCATGTATAATTCAACATTTAATCATTTTTTAAAGGATGTTGGAATTAGTAAGTTACTTATATTAATGCAATAGAAGGATTATGTGTGTAGAGTCATTGAAAGAAGATCCAACAAGGCCGGAGTTTGTGTATTTGCAACCACCATTGGTTCCAAAGTCTCCAAAGTATGATCCATATGAATTGGAGATTGTGAGGCATTGCCACCTCCGCCAACATGCTGCGTGTTTCCATTACACCATGAGCTCCAAAGGAGTCACCCTCTTCAGTTCCAATGGCAATGCCGGTTGTTATAACATTCAACACCTATTTATATTTTGTATGCATGTGTGTATCACTCATATACTGTGTTTTCTGTCAATATATATATATATATATATATATATTGATAGAAAAATAGATAATTTTTAAGTTTTATCTTGATAAACACCCAAAACTTTGCAAATAAAAATTGTAATGGATGATCTAATTTAATAGTATCACTCATATACTGTTCAAGGATCTACTTTAGAACTTAATGTTTACTTTGTGGTTTCTTGAAATTCTGTTTTTACTGTTGATGGAATAACAAGAGTTATTGTGATGACATGCATTATAGAATTTGAAGCATTGGATCAATGGGAAAGAGCTTATAATCAATTTAGATGCATCATGCATCTTAACATTTTTTCCCAAGTATGATTAAGTGTTTTTACTTCTACTTCTTTTTTGTGTATTTTGTGTGGAATTATATCCTGAAACATAATTGAATCAATTTTGTAAAATTATTTTATTCTTATTAACGAATTTTTTTTACTAATAATCAAATTCTCCTTCCTTTTCACATTACAATATCAACTTTGTTTAAAAAGCATTATCTAAACATGAACATAATCAAAATCATTTTTTTATTTTTTTATTTTTCATGTATTTCCTTTATATTACCTAGGAAACAGTTCTATGTATAATAGCTTTAGATGCATGTTATGATTTACAAAACTTCACAATTATTACAGTATAAAATTTGGAAGACATGGGCGCTTTGGAAACATTATGTTCGCAGAAAGAAAAAAACATTGGCCAGTGCAATTATTCAAAAAAACTTGTTTGCAAATCATGTAATTTTTGCAGATGTGTTGGTCAAAATACGCAAGGTATGGCTTGATTTTCAAAAAAAATCTATTTTAGGTTGAATTCTGAAAATCTTCTGAAATTTTATCAAATTAACGAGTTCAATTCCAAAAATACAAAAAACATATGTAGTAATATTTCGTTTGTGGAATATAATATTTCAATCTTCTGAATCTGGATGAGACTGTGATTAGTACAGATAGTTGTTAAAATTTGGACTATGCGGTTTTATTATCTTGATCCAAAGAAAATATACACGTTGAATGAATTCATACAAGAGCAAACAATTAAAAAAAATATTGTTGATTTAGACATATCACAGGTATTCATAAATACATCCTTTAGAATTAATGCATAAATTTTGTAACGTTTGATTTGAAATTTTTGTGATGAAAAAAATCTATACGTAATTTGGAGACAATATTTTTATTCTATTTTTATTCTATTTTATTAAAAACATGGTTGTTTTATTTCAATACATACAATTTCTAAAATTAAGAGTTATATTCACTTGTTACAATCCCGTACACAAATAATAATCAAATTATTTGCTCAATATTATAATTGATATGACATGATGCAATTTATTGAATGGAATTAAGTATGCAAGAGATATTATAATAGCAATAAAAAATGCTTGCATGAATGCTTTAGCTCAACTTGAAGAAAGTCTTTTGGGTACCAATGATTCTTCAATGTCACTCCCAAATGAAGAATCAGAAAACCATGTACAATCTACACATCCTTTAACCTTTACCATCATAATATGGTTTTATTTCTTTCTCCATTTTTTTCTATATATATATATTGAATTTTTTGAAAATTCAAAGATTAATTGTCAATCAACCAAACATAGGAACGATACACCTATTTGATAGCAGCAGCAAAGAGATTGGAACAATCACGGCTTTTAAGTTTTGTAAGGTTGGTGGATTATCTCATCACGGATGCATTACACATGGTGTTGAAATCTACCTTAGAAGACTTGGTCTTCATCTTTCTCAACTTGTATCACAATGAAGTAAATAACAATGCTATAGTGGCTTTGCAAAACCACAATGTGGGCGGAAGAGATGATGAAGAAGACGAGCATGGCTCTTCTAGAGATTCCATTCTAATGAGCTCACCAAATCCACAATCCTCTCTTGCTAACTCTTCTTCTACCATAAATGAATCTTTTGATGAGGATGGAAAAAAAGTTGCTACACCTCCACAATATCTCATGGTGGAATTGTGGGTTTGTGATGAAATTCTTGTTTTCCATCCTTCTTTTCAAGATTACAAAATAAAGGTTTTGAATTTCCATGTCCATATACTCTTTTACACTATTTGATTAGATATATTGTGTAGAATATATCTAAATAAATAAAAATAAATAAATAATTAGTTAGAAAAATAATATATCACAAAAATAAATAAATAATTAGTTGGAATTTTATCTTAAAATCCATCTTTTTTTAATAGAAGCATTGGGATTTTGATTTTTTTGTGCTTTGCATTGCTATTGAATACAGTATAGTTGTCAAACTTGTGAGATGAAATTGTGGTATAGATTGAAGGATATGTCAAAGATATTTTGAATGTTGTACGTGTTCTACGGAGAATGCTTTATCATCCCGAGCTTGATGGAGTTGTTGATAAAGGAGATGTGGATGTTGAGAATTTGACATCCTATGTTGATCTTATTGGTGAAAATCAATTCCATGCAATTCTGAAAAAAATTCCAAAAATTATAAAATCTTCATTTAAGGTATGATTACTATGTGACAAAGTCCATGAGGATTATTTCTGAATTCAATCTTTTGATGCAAAAAAACTAATATGAAATAAAACAACTTGAATTATTGGAATGTATTAAATAAAGTATAAAGAATTTTCAAATTACACATTTTTAAACTATTACTAAAAATAGTGAAAAATCAAATCAACATAACAAAGTATGAAACAAACAAAACATACTCAACTTGAAACCTAACATGATAACTAATTCTATTAACTGATTTTTCATTTATGATTACAACATAATATATACTTATACCACATTTACATACATACATAAACAAATTGAAAATTCTGATTTAAATTTTTTTCAAATTTTTATTTCATGACATGAATTTTTTAAAGCCACCATCTCAATATAAATGATATTTTTCAGATTTATAGTTTTGAAAAATCTGTCTATCATAAACTTAATTGTATAAATCAGTAATTTTTTTACATAATGAAGTTTATGTCAATGAATTAGAGCACTATAAATAAAATTGCAAAAAAAAAAAAAAAAAAAAAAAAAAAAAATCTTGTTATAATCTTCTGGAAAGCTAGTTTGACCCATCAAACGTAAATTATTCAATTTTGAACATTTCAATTATTTATATTTAAAATAAAAATAGGAAACAAATACATGTTATTAATGATATTTATTTTTTAAAAAAATTAATCCAAAGCATCCTAAATATAGCAAGTACAAACAAATATATGACTTTCGTCAATGAATGTTTCAAATTAAAAGAAATAATGATATCCAGAAAAATATTTGTCACTTTTGAAGAATTTCCAACTTCAATATTATTTTACTCATTCTATATATATATATATATATATATATATGTGTGTGTGTGTAAATATTAGCATATGAATACTTGTCAATAACCAATTTGATGAATAATGTAGAGTATTGAATTTGTTAAAGAACCATTTCAAAAGCACCTTGACCAATGCATAGCAAATCGACTTATCACGCATGACATGTTACTAAAGGAGGTATTTCCATGTTTTGATATGTGAACTTGTCTAAAATTTAATACAATAATATCAATGCATGGAACACCAATATCATGATATAGTTCAAAATAAAACCATTTCTTATTAATCAATTTAATACACTAGTCATTGCACATAAACAAGAAGCATAACAAGTTAGAAGTTTTTCTTGATACACCATGTCATGATTTTTCTATCTCATTTCAGTTTTAAACAACATGGTCATAATATATTAAAATGTCAATATAACTGTATTTATTTAGTTTATTTACATTATTATTAAGTATGTTTATTTTTTTCTAAAAAATCCTATAACTAATTGTTGCATGGATGCTTGTTTATTATTTACTAAATTTTTTTGGGTAGTTTTTAGAATTGAAAACCACTTGTTCATTAGTGTTCATCAAAGATTGATGAGTATAATTGATAGGACTCTTTTGTAGGTTGAGGAAGGCAAAAGAGACTTACAAATGTTTCGAGATGATATAGAAATATATCTTTGCCAAGAAAATGCCATAGCCCACCTTCCAGACTATTATGATGTGGTGAGCACATTAGGTACTAATTTTGTGTATCTATAATTATTTATACAAACTATTGCAATTGAAGGTTATGATAGTATCAATGGCAATAAGAATATCCACAAAACAATGGCAATAGCATTCACTCCTGCATTAGTTGACATAGTTTTAGTGAAATACAAATGTTTTCAACTTCTAAATACAACTCTGCAATTCAAAGTTTAAAATATTATTTTTCCTTATATAGAAATATATATGAGAGACATTAATTAACCAGTGTATGAATGGTGATTTCATCAGGGAATCTTTCATATCATAACAGCCAAAGCTAAACAATCTTTGCTTCCTTTGCCTCAACAAGCCAAAAAAATCATTTTTGCTTTGTTATCCTTTGTTGCTGGAAAATTATTAACAGTGAGGTTTATATGCCCTGCTCTAATGTATTTGCATCTTTTTCAATATTTCAATATTTCCAATATTCAATGTACCATTTCACAAACTCATGAGAGCTATAAAAAAAAACTGTTTGCTTTGATAAAAATGATCACAAAAACGTATGAAAAATATAAAATATATTGAGATATACTTATTAATTACCATTAAATGAATATATATACGTGTAAATTTAGATTTTTTTTAATAGTGATAAAATGTCATCTAAATTCAAACTTTCAGAATATGGTGTCTGAGTGTTGATGTTGTGTTTTATTATTTTTTTTTAAAAAAAATAAAATTTTTTTTCCAACAATGAAATCAGGTTAAATTCATGCATGTTATATTTTTGAGTAACATGTAGTGTACTCATGCTCTGTCTTATACTAATTCAGCACAATGTTCTTATTCTGCAAACAGGATTTTATGAATAAAATCCATGAAGCTGAAAAGAAACTTCGTGTTGTCCCTAATAGTGTGGAATCATTTGTTGACATTGCAAACTTTAAAGATGTATGAATTTTTAATCATGTCCCCAAAATCTAAACACCATTTTTTCTTAAATTAAAAAATAACAATTATATTCTCTTTTTTACCATTTTTTTTTTTTTCCCTTTTGCAAAAACATTGCTATTCCACAAAGACTTCTACTTAGTAGAATCATAAAATATAAGTCAAGTATGTAATAATAACAAAGACACCATTTAAATGAAAGTCATACTTGTTACATAATCTTATTGTCTTGAATAATTTTAGTATTTCAAAAAACATAAGTTTTATTATGAGAATCGCTGTAATAAAATAGGATTTGCAAAAGACATTGGCCAATTTGGAGGACCAAAGTAAAAGCATTGTTGACCATTATGAGTTGATAAAGGAATATGGTATGGAGGTGCCCGCCATGGAACAAGCCTCCTTCCAAATGATGGCTGTGGATTTTACATCATGTAAAGAAGCAATGGATTTAGTTGAAGATGCCAAACCCCTTAATATCAAAAAGTTTAGCTCTGACCTCTCCAATGAAGTTAACCTCCTTCGTAAAGATGTCATTGATATCCGCACCTCTGCACAAGCCCCTATGATCTTAAGCGCCAGTATGTAGGGTCACAAGAGTGTGTATATATCTATATCTATATATATATATATAACATAATGATTGTTGAATATTAGAATCATAAGCATAACTTGTTAAATATTTTTTAAAAAAAGTCAATGATAAGAATGTTGGTTAATAGGGAGGAAATATTTGTGACTTGGTGATCCAATTAGCATAACTAAAATGTTGTGAGGATTTCTAAGTTCATTGAAACTTTTGAGAGGTAAATAGTTGCAATGTAGATGAGTGGATTATTGGAGAATATAAGAAGATGGTAATTATAATGTGTGGTATCATAAAATTGAAACAATACTACACTGGTCAAATAAAAGAGTTAGTAGTGTTCATAAAACATAAAGAAAACAACTAACAAAATATCATCACATTTACATTCTAGGAGCAACATGGTAAAGGAAAACTGGTATAGTAGATTAGATTGGATAAACAAATTCAAATTAGGGTTAGTAGATAAAGTACTATTTCAAACTATCAATGTTGTATCAAAGTTTATGAAAATAACATGAACCACATTGTATTGATGGCATAATAGATAAAATGGCATTCAAGTTAATCATAGAAACCCAAAGCTGATGATAAAAATTCAGAATTTTTATGAAACCTTTTTTCCTATATACAAGTAAAAATCTGGAGATTGTCACAATCTTATACCTTTCAAATTTGATTATGTATGAATTAATGTAGTGTTATGGATGGTCTTTTGACAAACAGAACTAATAGTAATGGTTTATCTATTTTTAACACCCATCTCTAATAAATGAATTGAAGAAACCCAAATTCAAATACATCTAAATTTTTGAAATAATAACACAAAGCTCGCTTTCTTAACATTCTTAACATTACAAGTCTAAGATGCAGACATAATTCATTAGCTAATAGGTTTTTAATTATTTGTTAGTTTTTGAATTACGTGTAAGTTGAAAGAAACTATAAAAAGAATATTTTAATTTATTGTAAAGAATGATGCTAAATTTTAATTTTTTGAAAATCAGATATGTTTTGATGGCTTCATTCTCTTTGCCTTTTCTTGGTAGAAATTTATCAGAATTTTTAAAGATATTTGAACTTGATTTTTTTTTTCTTGTTAAAATCATATATCTATATCCATATATATATATATATATATATATAGAAAATTTTATTTTAATTCTAAAATATTAAATTACAATCCCAAACCTATTCACAGATGCTGAAGAAGATGTGGTATTACCATTCATGAAGAAATTAAACGATGATGTGATTGAACAAAAAACTCGAGCCAAGAAAATTGTTGAATATCAACATCTATTTGGGGTTTTCAACTTACACTACTTGACAGAAAATAATATACATTAACAAGGTTTTAGTATGAAATCGTTTGATTTCAAATAAAAACCTGTGCTATGTAAAAAGAATGAATCTCTTTTCACTTTAATATTGTATCAAAATAACAAAAATAAAAAAACATCAGCTGTAAATGTAGAAATATAAAAATATAAATTTAAAGCAAATAATAAGTGACTCAAAGATAATAAATAGAAACTTGATCCATGTATTGACAGGCCAAAGAATCTAAGTTTGATGATTTAGCTCAAGCTAGTGAAGAAGTTGCTCTGAAATATCAATTATGGGAAGGGTTACGAGAGTTGGCAGAGAAGTCAGCCTTGTGGAATACAACCCATTTTGAAAGCCTTGATGTGGAGGCAATGGAGTCCATTGTTACAAAGTAACATTGTTTATATCTCTCTCTCTATATATATATATATATATATATATCTGTGTGTGTGTGTGTGTGTATGTATGCATGATGTAGATGGCATTTTATAATTAATCTTATTAACAATTCCATTATTGACATTTATTTGTTTTGTATTACTAACTGCTCACATGGTTTAATAGTTTCTATTTCCTCATAATGTGGTGCTTAATTCCTTTTCAATGAATGTAATGTGTGTGTTTTCTATAAAATAATCTACAATTTTCCGTATGATTTTTTGGTGTAGATATTCAAAATTGTATGTAAAGCTGGAACGATTAATTCCTCCAAACCCTGTTGTGAAGCGTTTGAAGGCAATGGTGACTGTGTTGGTGAACACCTTACCAGTTGTTCAAAACATGCTGAACCCGGCTTTACGAGATCGCCATTGGAAAAAGATAGAAATTATAATAGGCCGCAAGGTGACCCAATAAACCCTAAGTTTTATAATCTACTAATAAGTAAAACTCATTTACAAAAACATGACTATGTTCATGTAACTAATGTTTGGATCATGTTTGAATTGTAACTGGTGTAAAATCTTATGCACATTTCTAGATGATTCTTGAGTACAATGTTTTTTAAAATTTAAAGTATGCATGAAGACATGCATATATTCATGTAAAGCTTCAAGATAAATCAACAAAACCATAAGGTTGAGTTTAATGAATTCTTGCATAAAGTGTTGCATTGTTTGCATCTATAATTACAAAGTCAAAGTATAAGTAGATGATTTGGTGCTGAATAATGAACTAAAAAAGTGCCAATCAAAGTTCCAAAAAGTTAATTACTACCATCCATGTACTCAAAACATCATGAAATACTTTAAAAAGGAGAATTAGTTTTGTGAAAAAGGTGAACGTGTGAAATGAAAATAACTAAACCATCACCTGAAAGACTGCACTAATTTCATGTTTTGATTGATGCAAGATTGAAAGGAATTCCCAATTCACACTCAATAAACTTTTGGAACTGAAAGTAATGGATTTCACAAATGCAATTGTGGAAGTATCTAATGAGGCAACACAAGAAATGGGTCTTGAAGAACTTATGTCAAAAGTCCAAGAAAGAGTATGCTCTTTAATGTGCCCATGAAGTTTGAAACCAAATAAATATTTTTAAGTTAAATTAATTAATAAGTTTATTTGTGAGCATGCATATACAAACAAGATGAATTGTTTGAGTAAATGATCTAACAAAGGAATATTTTCTTTTGTGTATTTCCATGTTTGTTTTGGAGTAGTGGACAACTGTTGAGTTTGTGGTGAAGCCTTTCAAAGACATGAAGGATTCATATATTCTAGATGGTGTGGATGAGGTCTATTCGGCTTTAGATGAATCAATGGTAACTATGAATACTATCACATCCTCAAGGTATCCACAAACAAAACATATATATATATATATATATATAATTTATTTCATTTTTTATTATTTATTACTTAATATATATTTAATTCACATTTAAATCTGTTGCAATAATTTTGTCATGAGCATGGAATATGATTTTTTCTTTTTGATAGCTTTTCCAATTATTTCCAGTGTAATTGATATCCAGTTTGATTGAGAATGTTTAGATGTAAAGAGCAGCAATAAAATATAATTCACATAATAATTGTGGTCATGTGTTATAGATTTGTAACGGGGATCCGAATGGAGGTTGAGAAATTAGAAGGGCAATTGAAGCACTTTAGAAAGGTTCTTGACCAATGGTGTGAAGTTCAAAAACAATGGATGTATCTTGAAAGCATATTTAGTGCGCCTGATATCCAACGCCAATTACCAAATGAAAGCAAAGCATTTTTTGCGGTTGATAAGCAATTCAAAGACATTATGAAGCGAACGCATGATAGGTGGAATTTGAAATATCTTTTTTTCCATACATGAATTTTATTTTCCGTTCTTATTTTTAAATAGTACATTTATAAGAAAAGGCATCCTCGTATCATTTTTTTTATGTTTCTAATTTTTATTTTTATTTTAAATTGAACAGACCAAATGCTCTTCAATCTGGATTGGCAACTGGATGGCTTGAAATATTTCAAAAAAGTAATGAAACATTAGAAAAGATTCAAAAGAATTTGGAAGACTACCTTGAAACCAAGCGAATGGCATTTCCACGCTTCTATTTCTTATCAAATGATGAATTGATTGAAATTCTTGCGCAAACAAGAAATGTTCAAGCTGTGCAACCTCACATGTCTAAATGCTTTGGTAATATTCCTAATTTCTTCTTTTCCTTTCTTTCACAAAATACAAGTTCTGAACTAATAAAAACTTTTTAGAATTATTTGTGAAATTGATTTTTTTCAACTCATTTTTAATGATGGTTCTTCATGTGATCTCATATTTGAAAAAATTACCAAGTAGTATTGAAAATATTTTTTTAGGTCCTTGAGATTATTTATAAAACAATGCAACATTAGGATAAAAAGTGTTTGTATGTTGGTTTAGTTTTGTTCTTTCTTTTCACACATGAACACGCATAGACACTTATGTGCATCTTTTCAATGACAAGGAAAGAAAAATACTATCACCACAATTTTGTGTGTCCGCTTTACAAATAGTTTGAATGATTCATGTTTCCAATGCAATTGTACCTGATTAATTCATTTGATTTGACTTTCACTTTCAGATGGAATCAGAAGTTTAGATTTTGGTGAGGACCCCAAAAGCATAGATATATTTGCCATGATTTCAAGTGAGGGTGAGCGCATCACACTTGGAAAGAACCTCAAAGCTCGTGGGAATGTAGAGAATTGGCTCACAGCAGTGGAACAAAACATGGTGTCTAGCCTTCAAAGGTATGCATCCACATCTTACCCTTGTCTTTCTTCAAACATAATAAAAATAAAAATAAAATAAAAAACACACACACACACACACACATACATATATATATATATATATATATATATATTAAATGGATATTATTCTCTCTCTCTCTCTATATATATATATATATATATATATATATATGGTATGGAATTTATTATTTGTACACAAGTAATCTTAAAAGTGGGCAAGGAAGTATATTTGATTTCTATTATGTAAGAAATGTAATGTAAGTAATGTAAGAATGATGTGTCTGAATATTTATCTACATGTTTTTTTTAGGCTTGCAAAGCATGCTTATGTGGAGTATGCACAGAAACCTCGTGGACAATGGGTGCTCATGCATGCAGCACAATTGGTTGTCATGATCTCACAAGTAATTGATGATCTACTTTTTAGCAAGTCTAATTTCTTTAATATATATACACACATGGGTATAGATATATTATTATTTAGAATGGGTTTTTATCATTATGTGGTGAGGAACAAACTCCTTAAGTGTAATAACTCTCTCTTCTTTGTTCTTTTTTTCATTTCAAAACAATTTTGGTTTTGACACCCAAAGATATAAATATATAAATAACTGAACTCAAAAATATTACTTGTAAATGATGAGTTAATTCCTATTCTGTTTGGTCATTTCAAAAGAGACAAGTATGTCTTAAATCTCATTTTTCATCAATCAACTTAATTTTTGATTAAATATTCATCTACTTATGTTCCTCTACAAAAATAATTTTACAAAAGATGAATTAGCAGATGATTCTATTTTTAAATTCTGTGGATTGTACAACTCAAACTAGTGATATGTAGTAGGATGTGTGTCTATTCTTTTTTTTAAGTGCAACAAATTTTTACAGGTTTATTGGGCAAGGGAAGTAGAGGCTTGTTTTCTTCAAGCAGTTGAACCTGAACTAACAAAATTCTTAAAGAAAAATGTTGATCAGTTAGAAGAACTCTCTGTTTTAGTGTGTGGAGATCTTCATGCACTGCAAAGAAAAATTCTGACTGCTCTTATCACCATTGATGTGCATGCACGTGATATTGTTGATAATTTACTCAGGTGCTTTCATCTAATATCAGCCAAAACTTGACACTACATATATCTATATATATATATATATATATATATTCATACACATACACCTAAAACTCTAAAACCTTTAAATAATTCATGATAGAGTAAGCTTTTAATAGCTACATTCCTATTAAATAAATTTCTTCAAATACAAGTGAAAATCAAGCTATACAACAAGATGTTTACAATGATGAATGAATGAATTTGTGTGTAGCAATAAGACATTTAAAGGGACAGAATTTGGGTGGCAAATGCAATTGCGCTACTATTGGGATGATGAGGTGGAGGATTGTGTGGTGAGGCAAACAAATGCAGTGTTTCACTATGCGTATGAATACTTGGGAGCTCAAATGCGCTTGGTGATCACACCGCTCACTGACCGATGCTACATGACCTTAACTGGAGCCTTGCACTTGAAGCTTGGTGGAGCCCCGGCTGGCCCTGCGGGTACGGGCAAAACCGAAACCACCAAAGACCTTGGGAAAGCCCTTGGCATCCAATGTGTGGTGTTTAATTGTGGAGAAAACCTTGATTACAAGGTGCCTAACACCCTCATCCCCTCCCCCCCCCGATCATACACCTTAAAATAAAAATAAATAAATAAATAAACTTTTAAATTTCAATACAAGTGACAACAACAATGTGATTATACATATATATATATATATATATACATACACACACACATGTATGTGGGTTTACATTAATACATGTCTAGAAAGGAGATTTTTTCTTTTCTACCTTTTTTTTCCATTTGACTTTCCAAATATGTGAATGAAGGGCTTATAAAAAATTGGAATGTTTGATTGAGTGGAAACATGGGGGGTGTTGTATAGTTCATGGGGAAATTCTTTGCAGGATTGACTCAATGTGGAGCATGGGCGTGTTTTGACGAATTCAACCGAATTGACATTGAAGTGCTCTCGGTGGTGGCACAACAACTTTTGACCATTCAAAATGCATTGAAAGCTGGGCACTCAAAATTTAATTTTGAAGGGAGGGAGATAAGGCTCATTTCCACGTGTGGCGTGTTCATCACCATGAATCCTGGGTACGCAGGGCGCACAGAATTGCCAGACAATTTGAAGGTGTTGTTTCGGCCGGTGTCCATGATGATCCCCGATTATGCCCTTGTGGCTGAAGTCATGCTCTTCTCTGAAGGTTTCCAATCACCTCACTCACTTTTCTACTTCATTAATCTGTAACAGTCATCAAACTTTAAAACCACCACTAAAATATTAAAAAATAAATCATCAAAAATAAATCTTTTTATAAGTTTGAATCTTTGAGTAGAGAATTAAATTGAAATAGAAAAAAAAAAAAAAAAAAAAAAAAAATCTCATTTTTTGAAATAATGATGTATAAATAACCATGTGTCTATGTGCATGTATGCAAAATATTATAATTTGGTATCCAATAATAAAAAAAAATGTCCAATTTTTAAAAAATAGGTGTCTATATGAAACTCTCTATATATACATATACATATACAGACACACACAAATACACATACATAATCTGAAGAGAGTGAAAAAAATCTTTCATCTGTGCATGAAAATGAGTTTAGTTTTGTGGAAACACTTAAATGTATGTCCTCTTCATTTGAATGCAAATGAAATATTTACCAAGCATAATTCATTTGTTGACCTCATGAATTTTTATTAATTAACATCTACATATGTATGGATTGTCAAATAGGCTTTGCCAATGCAAAAACACTATCAAGAAAAATGGTGAAGTTGTACAAGTTAGCAAGTGAGCAATTAAGTCAACAAGATCACTATGACTTTGGGATGCGGGCCGTGAAGTCTGTGTTGGTAATGGCAGGCTCATTAAAACGAGCAAATCCAGACCTTGTGGAAGATGTTGTTCTCATCCGAGCATTCAAAGATAGTAACCTCCCCAAATTTCTCCGAGCAGATGCTGATTTATTCATGGCTATTATTGGAGACCTGTTTCCAGGTCATTTTTTTGTGTTCAATTATTGTAATTCCTAACATGCAATGTGACATGTACTTTCATGTTTGTGGATGTGAATTTACACACATTGAAGATGGAATGTTGAACTTGGGTTTGACAACAATCTTCTATTTCAAATGTCATGATTTCATGAAAATATTTGTGTTGATCAAATTAATGTCATTCTTGCATTATTTGGATTCACATTTATGTATGTATACATATACATAAATAAGTATTCACTCTCAATATTAAATAGATGGGAGAAGAAAGAGAAAGATATGTGTGTATGCATTTTTCTAACTAAGCATTGCAAATGAAGACAACATTCACATCCATTTTTGCACACCTAATCCCATGATATTTGGCACAATTGCAATGTATTTATTAAATTCATTGCTAATACATTGGACACTATTCCTCTGCAATTGGATGAGTGTGATATACAAGGACTAGCTACAATCCTTGTTACTAGACAACCTCTACAGTCTACTTTCTAGGAGGCTTTTGTAACAATCCCTACAAAAGTCCAACTAATCGTTTAGGTCATAACTTCTTCCATGTTAGTATGTGTAGCTTTTACATTGAAAAACATGAGCTTTTTCATGGAGAAACAAAAGCTTACATAATGTGTCTTCATGGGGGGGGGGTGTTGGCAACAACAGGTGTGGTGATCCCCAGGCAAGACTTTGGTGCCATTCAAAATGCAATTGAGAATTGCCTTGAGGCACATGGATATCAAGCAGTGGCCACATTTGTGATCAAAATCATACAATTGTTTGAGACCATGAATGTTAGGTTTGGGGTGATGACCATAGGCCCCACAGGTGGAGGCAAGACGGTGTGTTGCCGTATGCTGCAAAAGGCCATGACAAAACTCCGCAATGATGGAAACCCTAACCCAGCATTCCAAGTAACACACGCCTTTGTGCTAAACCCTAAGTGCATTAAGATGGGTGAGCTCTATGGAGAGTACAATCTACTTTCAAATGAGTGGACGGATGGGCTTGGGAGCACCATCATTCGTGGTTGTGTAGCTGATACCACACTGGACCAGAAGTGGGTGGTGTTTGATGGGCCAGTGGATGCGATTTGGATCGAGAACTTGAACACTGTGTTGGATGACAATTGTGTGCTGTGTTTGCCCAATGGGGAGCGCATCAAGCTAAATGCAACCACCATGCGCATGTTGTTTGAAGTGCAGGATTTGGCTGTGGCCTCACCTGCCACTGTCAGTCGTTGTGGTATGGTTTATGTCCCACCTGAGGAGCTTGGCTGGCGCCCTTTTGTTCGCTCATGGTTGCAACGCTTCCCTCGTGAGCTTGCCCTGCATATGCCCAAACAGGTCTGCCTCCTCCTCACTTTCAACACATGTATGTGTGTATGCTATAAAAAAAAAATAGAAAAATAAAAGTATGACTCAAAGTTAGTTATTTTATTTCATTTCTAGATAAACATAGAGTATAGATTAGACATACATGGTGTGATGATTTACAACTTCCAATTAACTTTTCATTTTTAATCAATGAATTGTATATTTTTGTGGTATTTTGTTATGGAAGTAAATAGTTTTGTATTGTTGATAATTATTGTAGTTATTTGTTTAGAAATTTCAGTAAATCATCTGAACAACATTTTTATGGCTTGGTTTTTATTTTAAATATTTAAAATACTGGTTGGTGGGTGATAAGGTGGCAGACTACATTTACATGTTGTGTGACACATGGATTGACAAGGGGTTAAAATTCTTGAGGACAAAATGCCAAGAAAACATCCCATCCATGGACATCAATATTGTCACATCATTGTGTTGTCTAATGCAAGCACTTCTTCAACCGAGCCGCGGAGTAAATGTTAATCTATCCATTCTTAAAGAAGGAGAATTAGATGAAACGGTGATGGCAAATTTGAGCCGCATCTTTGGGTGGGCCTGCATTTGGTCCATTGGAGGAAACATAGACCACAAAAGTATTGAAGGCTTTGATGTATTCTTTAGAACAGAATTTGAAACACTCACCATCTTTCCAGGATCTGACACTGTCTATGAATATTTTGTCAATGTGAAAGATCAGGTTTTTCTTTTTCTTTTTCTTTTTAGATCCCTGTTCAAGTATTTAATATTTATACTTTTGTGTGGTGTAAACTTGATGTTTTTATATACATACACCCACAAAAATATGTGTTTCTTGAGCAAATTTTATTTTCTTTGACATACAAAACGAAAATTATGAGAAATACCAACCAAAGTTATGGTCTAAACATCAAGAGTGGACTGTAGAACCTTGCTCCATGGGAGGATGTAATTAAAGAGTTTAAATATGTCTCCGAAACATCATTTTTTGAACTCATGGTACCCACATTAGACACAACAAGATTGGGATTTATTATGGAGATATATCTTGAGGTGGATAAAGCAATTCTATTCCAAGGAGTGTCGGGTGTAGGCAAGAGTGCCATTGTCATGGATCTCATCACAAGGCTGCGTGAGAAAAAAAATTACATGTCCATTGTCCTCAATTTTAGTGCTCAAACAACTGCAATTGCAACTCAGGTATCATTCATTAAAATCAGCACCAATATCCAAAAATAAAATAAAAATGCATGATGATTATTGATTATTGATTATTGGCTGACAACTCAAATTTTGAATGTAGCTCATGTATGTATTAACTTACATTTTGATGTAATTAATTTTTGGATTAAAAAATTGGCATAATTTTTCAACTTCCTTCAATACTCTTGCCTTAATTGATCCCATCCAATATGTGAAATTTGACTTTATTTTAGTTTCTTTTCCTTTTTGAAGGGAATGGTAAAAGTTACTACAGATGTTTATGGGGATGTCATCATAAAATAATCATTGTTATGGATTTTAAAGCTAGTTTGTGGCACATCTATAATACTTGTAAATGAAATAGAATCAAACACAAATATACTTCTGGATCTATTCATTATTTATTTATTAATTATGCTTATTTCTCCATGTGATGTGAGTGTGCACAGGGAGGAGGTTTTAGATTATTTTTACTTTTTTATTATTTTTCGTTGTTTTTAACATGCAAAATGTGAAGTTATTCCACACTACATAATCCACTCAATAGACAATGTTCTATTTCTAAAAACCCATAATTGCAATTATGCATTCAAGGCTTTATCTTATTCATGGAAATTAAATTGCAAAGACATCTATGTATTTTCATTTAATTTCTGGCATAGGAATCCATTGAAGCCAAATTGGAAAAAAAGCATCGGACACGGTTTGGAGCTCCAAGTGGAAAAAAGATCATTTGCTTTGTTGATGATGTAAACATGCCTTTGCGTGAGAAATACTTTGCTCAACCTCCAGTGGAATTGCTCCGGCAGTTTTTAGATTTCCGAGGGTTTTACGACCGCCAATTGTTGTTTTGGAAAGACATTGAGGACATGACCATTGTGGCTGCCTGTGCTCCACCCGGTGGAGGCCGCAATGAGGTATCCCTCCCTCTTTTCTCATGCTATTTATTTATTTACATTTTTTAACATCAGTTTTAAAAGAATATTCTTACAAAGTCAATTCCCAAACTCCACTTTTCATTCAATTATTGTTTTGATTGGTGCATCTTTTGCACACTTTATGATTCTATGAAGTATTCTAAGGCATTCTATGTGTAATGCTAGTATTGGTAAGATGAATAAAGAAAGCATTCAAAGATCAACTTTTACCTTTTGTAAAAACTTTTATTTTGTATTACTAATATTAAACTTTGTTTGTAGCATTCTTTGAATGTTTTTCAAATTGAAATTCTAGTCTACTAACACCCTTGATGGACTTTTTAAATAATCAAGCAAAATAGAGGGCATGTGAAAACATTGATCGATGAAAACATGTGTGTGGGTGTGCACAAAAGGTGACGCCAAGATTCATCCGGCATCTATCCATGGTGTGTGTGCAACCTCCAACTGAGGGGAGTTTGCGGATGATATTCCGGGGCATTCTCGAAGGATTTCTAGGGGGATTAGGGTTTGCGGCGGAGTGCAAGGGCATGGTGAAGCCCATAGTGGATAGTAGCATTGAGACCTACTCACACATTAGTCATGAGCTCCTCCCCACCCCCACCAAGTCCCACTACACCTTCAACCTCCGTGATGTCTCCAAAGTCTTCCAGGTATAACCTCTTCAAAGTTCCTTTCATCCACCTAAATCAACAAATTCATCCATTCCAAATACTAATAAGACTTCTATATAAATATATACATATACTAACTAGACTTATATATATATATATATATATGAATTATTGAAGTTTTCTTTTTGTCTTTTTTTTTTGTTATTTGTGTAGGGGATTTTGATGGTGAAACCAATAGATTGTAATACTAAGAAGCAATTGAAGCTACTATGGGTCCATGAGAGTATGCGTGTCTTCCACGACCGGCTTGTAGATCAGAATGACAAAACTTATTTCTTAGGGATTTTGTATGAGCTGTTGAAAAGGAACTTTGAAGAGGTTGCTAGTTTTGAAGATGTTTTTGAACACCAAATTATAATGTTTGGGGATTGGTTAAGGCCAGGGTATGAGAAAGAAGATAGGAGATATGAACAAGTATTCTACAATCACTCACTCATTCTCTTACAAATGTACATGTGTGCATGTATCCACACATATGTATATATATATATATATATATACAACATCTGCTTGATAAGAATATTATATCATTAAAAATAGATGAGTATTTTGAAAAGGAAATCAGTACTCTGTAACAACTTCAATCACATATCATATATTCAATACAAATAATTCATGTAATGTATTACAAAGTATGAGATTACCAAAAAAGTGAAAGTGAAAGTAAAAAGTAAAAAGTTTTCATTATTGAGAATATTTCCTCTTTTCCAATTAAGATTCTTTTCCTACTTTCGAATAATTTGTTTGTGATAATTTCAAAGCTGAAAAGTCTATTTACATTTGTTTATTTATGTTCAAAAGGAATATTCTCCTACATGAAAAAAACATAAGCAAATTTTCAATGTAGTTATTTATAAGTTTTTTCACTCCATTGAAATGCAACAAAAACAGGTTTTAGATTACAGCAAAGTTCCCCAATTGTTGAAAGATTATTTGGAAGATTATAATATGACCACAACAAATATCATGAAGTTGGTCTTTTTCAAGGATGCCATTGAGCACATATCACGTATCACACGAGTTCTGCGTCAACCTCGAGGGAATGCCATGTTGGTTGGGGTTGGAGGATCTGGAAAACAAAGTCTTACTCGGTATGCATGCTTTTTGGCAGAGTATCAATGCTTCCAAATTGAACTCACAAAAGGCTATGGAAATGCAGAGTTCCGAGAAGATTTGAAGGAATTATACAAAATTTCTGGTAATTATATGTATGTGTGCCTATATATATATATATATATATATATATATGTGTAAAAGCTTGGTTTAAAATCAACCAAAGAATTTGGGTGATTTATAATAAACATATTTGTTTAGTCATTTATATAATTGCACTTGCATCAATACATGTTTTAACATTTTTCATTTAGTTAGATGTTTAATTTCTCATTTAATCAATTATGCCACACACTATAATTCAATTATATATATATATATATATATATATATAATTACAACAGCTTGCTTTCAATGCAGTAAATATATTAGCATCTTTTCAGCTGAACTACTTAGTGATGAACAATAATCATGTGAATATAAAATATGAACATGTAATTTGGCATGTAAGAGTGTATTCATGCATAACTAATGGAATAGAATCATATGTGATTAAGAAAAGCTGTAAAATTAAATTCTGTGAACTCAATAACTGGTTCTGATATGTAAAGTTCAGTCCATATGGTTTTTAGTTTTTGGGTTCTGGTATGAAAATTTATACCTACAATGACCCATTCTATTCCCAAATTCCCTTCTATAATATCTTTTTGTTCCACTTCCCACCTTAATAAGAGGTTTTAAAAGGTGTCACTATGTGTAAAATACATTCTTAGTGTGGTGAGCTTAGACATCTTACTCCAATTACTTTTATTATCACGCTTCTGAGTACCATAATTGAAATAAATTACTCATTTCAAGTCTTTGAACCAGGCTGTCTTCTTAATGCATTGCAATGGCATCTCCTGTTGACCTTCCCTTTACAATTTTCATTGTAGTATATTTTTTCTTAAGAGATGACATTTTTTGTTACAGAATTATCACAATGTATTAATCAAAGGGTTAAAATAAATTAAATAAAAAGTAAAACTTAGATGGTAATTAATTCAGAATACAATTTTTCAACACCACCTCAAGATTTATTTTATTTTATTTTATTTTATTGATGTTAGGGCTGAGATGAAATATACACATTTCTGAATATTAGGTTTTTAAAAAGTAATAGGATTAAGCTACTTGATTGTGTTTATGATATCTTAAAGTCATGCATTTCCATATTATACAGTAAAAAATTGATATAATTCATTGTAAAATTCATAATTATTATAGTTAAAATTTATGTATTATTTATCTTTTGAGGATTAATTAAGACAAAACTATTGGAACATGAAAAATTAAATTTTGGGTGATAATGAAGGCATTGATGGCAAGCCAGTCACATTTCTACTATCGGACACTCAAATTGTGAATGAAGGATTTGTGGAGGACATCAACAATCTTTTGAACTCGGGAGAGGTACCGGGATTGCATACATTGGATGAGAAAGACCAAGTGATGGTAGAAATTAGAGATTATGTGTTTGCACTTGGGTTACCACTTACCAAAGAGCAATTGTACACCTCATTTATAAATAGGTCTCGTGAAAATATCCATGTGGTACTTTGCATGAGCCCCATTGGTGATGCCTTCCGTAGTCGGTGCCGACAATTTCCTTCGCTCATTAACTGCACCACAATTGATTGGTTCAATGAATGGCCAAAAGAAGCCCTACTTTCTGTTAGTTCTTACTTCTTGGAATCCGTGGATTTGGGCTCATTTGAGGTTTGCAATTTTTGATCCTCCAAAAAGCTGATATGATTTGTTGACATTAATATTAACATAAGCCAATATCAATATATGTCAGTGTTACTATCTCTCTCTCTCTCTATATATACATATATATACATAATACTGTTTCTTGTGAAGTTTCTTGTGTGTGTTACTTTATGGATGTATAAGGGTTTTAGTATTGTTAAAATAAAAGAGTTTAAATATATCTATATATATATATATATATACATATGTGTGTGTGTGTGTGTGTGAGTGTGTGTGTTTATATGTATTGCAAATTTCTTGAATTTAGATAGTGTTGTGGCTTGTTTTAGATCAACAAAAAAATTGCAACTTTTTGTGTGGGCGTGTACACTTCAGTGTCAGACATGGCTGATAAGTTTTATGCTGAAATGCAAAGAAAGTATTACATAACTCCCAAATCTTATTTGGATTGTGTGAATCTATATATTACATTATTGAATGAAAAACGACTTGAAAGCATCAGTGCTCAAGATCGTTTCTTAAATGGTCTCAACAAGTTAAAGGAAACCAATGAGCTGATTGCAACAATGAAGGTTTGCTCTAGTACCCTGTGCTTACTCTCAAAATACAAATTAATTGAATTTGTATTACTTGATAAACTCAATTCTAGAATTGTGATGTAAAACCAGACAATTTTTTCTTTTCAATTAAATTTTAATAACAGAATCAGTGCAATCACAAGTGATGTTATTACTTTGTTATTTTATTTCTGACATTGTAGTGTAATTCAAACAATTTGTTTAAGAAACTTTACTTGATACAAATAGAAATATCTCTTTGTGAACCATTTTCTCCCCTTTAATTAATTATGTTTTGACAGGTTGAGTTGGACGAATTGGCACCAATTTTAGCAGAAAAATCAGATATTACAAATAAACTACTCGCCCAAGTTGCAAGTGATCAAGCAGCTGCACAAACTGTAATAACACTATTTAACAAAATGAAATAATCATTATAACCAATGAAAATATGATTCTTTATTCATGAGATACTATCAAAGTAGAATCTACATTAGTTTAGCAATGATATTGGTAAAAGTAGCTCACTTTATTATAACAATAAAAATAAACAAAGAACACAAAGACATTAAAATGATAATAACAGTAGAAGCTGCAACTTCACACATTGTGACATTAATTTTCATTTCAAAAATTTGAACAATAATTTAAAATATAAGTCCCCCCCCCCCTCCACTCCTTTCAGGCATTTCTCTTTCTTATTTTTCTTCCTTCATTTAAAAAATATATATCCAAGAGTAACAGTTCTTCTTGAGAAATGCCTGAAAGCAAGATGGTGAAAGAGGAACTAATCTCTACTTCTACACAAACATACAAACAAACATAAAATAAGAAAGACAAAATAAAATGAATTGTAATGCATTAGAAATTGGGGTCATGTGCAGGTGAAAGACATAGTGGCACAAGAAGAGGCCCAAGTGAAAGTGCAAGCAGAATCCACACAATTAATCAAGGATGATGCCCAACGGGACTTAAATGCGGCATTGCCCGCCTTGAATGCTGCATTGGCGGCCCTCAACTCTCTCAACAAAAACGACATCACGGAAATCAAATCCTTCTCCAAACCCCCTCTCTTGGTCCTCACCACCATGGAAGCCGTGTGCATTCTTTTTGGCCAAAAACCTGATTGGGACACTGCCAAAAAAGTAAACAATAACTTAATAAATCAATCAATTAATCAATCAATAAACAAATTTATTAACTTTGCTACCTGCTGCAAATTTTTTCAATATGTTTGTGGAAGTAAATAAATGAATTAACAAATATTTAATTACACCAGTCACTAGGCAAATTTATAAAGTTATCTTGTGCATAGTCTTTCACTCTTATTTCTGTGAGAAATGATGAATTGTATTGGAAAGATATTTAATTATACATAGTTTTGCTTGGTTTTATGTGTAGGTTATGAGTGATACAGGGTTCATCAAATCCCTGATTGAGTTTGACAAAGATAATATTTCAGAAGTCATGCAGAAGAAGCTGTCAGTGTACATAAACAACCCAAATTTTCTACCAGAATTTGTGGTGAAACAAAGCAAAGCAGCCACGAGTCTGTGTATGTGGGTGAGGGCCATGGATGTCTATGCTAATGTGTCCAAAGTTGTTGCCCCTAAAAAAATTGTAAGCCCACTACATTTTTAATATGTGTATTTTGTAATTTGGTGAATTTGAATCCAAAATGAGATACTGTTTTGAAAAGACTTGTGAGTGCATAACAACATGTAAGTCTCACATTTGAAATGGTTACTTTTACAAAGATAAAGCAGTATTATAATTTATGTACTTACTAGTATACATACATACATACATATTAAACATAATTGCTCTTGGTATCATAGGAATCTAAATAATATTAGAATTGAATTGTGCATTGCGCTTTTTGACATTATTTACAAGTGCAATTAATTGATTAATTGTTTTCTTGAAATATAAATATAAGTTCATAAAATTTTGCTCAAGAAAAGTAAACTTATAGATAAAACGAAATTAACCAATATGTTAGACTTTTGAAGGGTGGGTAATGTATTGTTGTACGTTTGCTTAATTGTAAACCTACCTGAACCAAAAAAATTATGTTTTGTTAGAATTGATCTCCATAAGTATGTATTAATACAATATTAATCTCCAGTGGTCACAATTACAATAATAATTATAATAATCACTATAGGTGTTAGCAAAAGCAGAGGCTGAGTTAATGGCTGCAGATGCCATGTTAGCACAAAAACAAACCCAATTAGCAGAAGTTGAAGAACAAGTGAATGCATTGGTTGAAAATTTAAAACGTGTAGAAAATGATTTGGCCCAATTGAAAGGGCAAGCTCTGCTCACAGAAAATCGCTTGATCAGAGCAGGAAAATTAACAGCTGCTCTTGGTGATGAAGCCGTAAATCTCAAGTCCCCTCTCAAAATATTATTTTAAACCAATTATATGTTTACAAAGTGGAAGGTCATATTTATACCCTCAATTGAATAGGCGAATTTTCTAAAAAATAAGGTTTCTTTGATATTTGTTTTTATTTTTGGCATTGAGATTGGAAAAAAATTTAAATTAAATTAAATGAATGACTTTGATTAGTTGAAAGCCTAATGTTCAACAAGACATTGAAATGTGTTGTTGGATGATTAGGTGAGGTGGAAAGAAACGGCCATAAGTATTGAAGAAAAAAGGAAATTACTTGTTGGAGATGTGTTTTTATGTTGTGCATGCATTTCCTATTATGGAGCTTTCTCTGGGGCCTACCGAGAAGTCCTTGTTGGCAATTGGATTACTTATTGCTTGGTATACACTACCACTGATTTTTTTATTTCCTTTGGTGATAAAATTAAAAGGATCCTTCATAAATTAATCACTACAAATGACAAGGTTTATTTTGATGTTAGATATTTGGAATTTGATAATTATGTTTTCTTTTACTTTGAATGAAAAATCATGTTAGGAATCAGTGTTGATCTCAATATTGCATTTATCACTTTTCTTTTTCTTTTTTTGCCATAAAATATGTTAGATTACTAACACTGAATGTGTTCTCAAGAAACTAAGCAAAGAACTATCTACAACACATTAATAAAAATAAAATAAAAACCTGAAATCTATAAAACACAATAAAATCAATACAAATTTAGATGTACAATTATTATTATTATTATTATTATTATTATTTTGAACTTTAAGGTGGATTTGTAGTTAGGTTCAAGCATCAAATTAAATTTTGTTCTACATAAAACTTGAATCCATATTTGATTCAGGAACAAAAAATACCATGCTCAGAAAATTTTACATTGCGAGGTCTGTTGGCAACACCAGTTGAGGTAAGAGAATGGAATATTTGGGGCCTTCCAAGTGATGATGTATCAGTTGATAATGGCATTCTGGTCACTCGTGGACGTAGATGGCCTCTCATGGTAGATCCCCAAGTAAGCACACACACTTACATCCACTATTTTTATTTTGTTTTAATACATTGCACAATATATTAAAAGAATATTAAAAAAATACACATGATTTAAAATAAAATAAAAAAATACTTCTCTCGTTTAGTTTAATGTAGATTTTAGAAAATCCAACTTGGGCATTGTTGACTTGTATTGATTTTGCCTTTGGACATCTTGCAAAACTATTGAAGTCTGAATTTTAAAGTGTTTTTGTAAATTCAGTCCATCATTTATTGAGAAGAAAAGTAGCTTAAGATTTTCAATGGTCAGAATAAAAATGATGACAATATCACAATGATTTTATTGCAGGGTCAAGCAAATAGTTGGATAAAAGCAATGGAAAGCAAGAATGGGTTGAGAGTTGTGCGGCTGACGGACATAAATTTGTTGAGAATTTTAGAAAGCAGCATCCGGCTTGGGAATCCTGTACTACTTGAAGATATTGGAGACACTCTTGATCCAGCTTTAGAACCCATTCTTCAAAAACAAGTTTGATTATCCCCCTACACCATTTAACTATAACTTTATTTAAATCAAAGTAAAGGATTTAAAAAGAACCAAATGTTATTACATGTCATTGAATCATGACAAAAACAATAATTTGATTTGTATTATTTACTTATTCATTTTATCAACTACAAACAAACAAAAAAAAAAAAAAAAAAACTAACTAACTATCTAACAAATAATAATTTCATGTATTTATGTTTTAACTCTTTGACCACAGATATTTTTTAAGCAAGGAAGGTGGCTCATACGAATGGGAGACACAGATGTGGACTATGACCACAACTTCAAATTATATATGACAACCAAAGTAGCGAATCCACATTACATGCCAGATGTTTGCATCAAAGTGACACTTGTGAACTTCATTGTCACAATGAGAGGATTGGAAGACCAACTATTGGGTGAGGTTGTGAGAAAGGAAAGATCCGACTTAGAGGAGCAAAATGACCGACTTGTCATCTCGATAAGTAGTGATAAAAAACAACTCAAAGACCTTGAGGACAAGATATTGAAAATGTTGAAAGAAAGTGAAGGGAATATTTTAGACAACATGGTTCTCATCAACACCTTAGAAATCTCCAAAGTGACTTCGGGGATTATCACAGAGCGTGTCAAACAAGCTGAAGTCACCGAGCAAGAGATTAGGGCAGCCCGGGAATTATATCGCATAGTTGCCAACCGTGGATCTATATTGTATTTTGTGATTAGTGATCTTGCTTTGATTGACTCAATGTATCAATACTCATTAACATTCTTTAATCACATGTTCAATCTTTGTATAGACTTGGCTCCAAAAGCCGATGGATTGAATGAACGATTGGATATCTTAGTCCACTTCATAACCGAGTATATGTACTTCAATGTTAGCCGAGGATTGTTTGAAGAGCATAAACTCACCTTCTCATTCCTCATTTGCACCACTATTATGCACCACAGTGGGTCAATTAATCCTTTGGAATGGAGGTTCTTTCTATTATATGCTGCAGGTGCTGATCCCCGCAAAGGCTCCCTACAAAAACCAAATGTGGATTGGATCCCTGAGAAAGTTTGGACCAACCTTTTGCTTTTGGAAGAGATACCCACCCGCACTTTTCAAACATTGTGTGCTGTAAGTTTTTCATTCTCAATTACCTTTTTTTAATTTTTAATTTTAATTTTATATTTTCTTTTTTTATTTAATGTAAAGTATGATGGCACTAGTTTTTATTGCTGTTTTATGATGGATTAATCACATGGAGCTTTTTTCAAACTATTTTATGTGAAACCCCATAACTGATTGTGACATAGATTCAGACATTTCAATTCATGAAACAAGATTGAATTTTCAAAATTATAGGATCTAACAGATTACTCATTATTTTTTCTTGTTTTGAATATTTTATCAAAGTTAATTGAAGAGTAATGTTACGTTTTTAGTTTATATTTACTATTTAGAATGCATACAGAATAATCAAAATTTGAAATAGCTTTAGAGTGTTACATTCAGATGCTAAACAAACTTTTGTGCATCTGTTGTAGCTTAAATTCATTGACATACAATGAAATGAATGTATATATGTACAAAACATGTTGCCTTTTAGATAGATGTCTTTTTCTTTTTATAGATTGTTTTGGAACTTTCTTAAGTCCATCATTATAATCACAAAACACCTCCAAATTAGTGACTCATGTCACACAATGCACACATTTCGAAAAAAAAAAAAAAAAAAATCTTAGTATGAAAATTTTCTTCAACAAAAAATAAAAATGACATTATATATATATATATATATATATATATATGAATAGAAATTTAACAACTTTCATGTGAAACAAACCAAAATTGGATAGGTAATTGACTTATAGAAATAACTTTTCACTGAAACAGTGTTGTATCTGTTACTTAATTGTGATATTCTTTATTTCTTTCTTACTATGTTTTAAATTAACAATTGAATATGACTGAGACAGAAGTAAAAAATTTCAATTCCAACACAAAAACCAACCCATTGCAAACCACCAGTTATGTTAACCATAAAAACCAAAATCAATCATCTTTCCACTATTTGTTGCAACTATTCCCTGCAACTCCCAAAACAAAATTAGTTTCACATTGACATCAAAAACCTGCTGTTGAATCATATGAATGCATATTAAATATTAAAAAAATAACAAAAAAATGTTAATGTATATGGCTTCAGGGCATAGCCAAAGACCCAGAGATATGGAAGCCTATATTTGTTCACTCGGACCCCCACATGCAACCCATGCCAGGGATATGGTGCACGGATGTAACCCTATTTCAGTGGCTCATGTTGCTGAAAGTCATCCGCGAGGAAAAGCTTCTCTTTGCTTGCGAGCTCTTCATTAGCAAAGAGCTGGGCAAGCAATACATTGGGTCCAAGCCCCTTTTGCTTGATGATGTGTTTCCCGATTCATCCAATGTGACCCCCATCATATTCATCCTCTCAACAGGGGCGGATCCATCTGGAATGCTACAGCGGTTTGGAGACAAGCAAGAAAGGCGTGCAGGAGAACGCCTCCACATGATATCCCTTGGTCAAGGGCAAGGCCCTATTGCAGAAACCCTAATTTCTCAAGCCAAGCGCTCTGGCGATTGGGTTTGCTTGCAAAATTGCCATCTTGCGAGCTCATGGATGACACCCATGGAACGCATCATAGAACGGTTCTCGTCCGACCGCAATGAAATCCATGTGGAGTTTCGCCTCTGGCTCACCTCCTTGCCCTCATCCAAGTTCCCCGTCTCAGTTCTCCAAGTGAGCCACTTCTTCCCCTCCCCCCTTGTTTGTTTGCACACCATTTTTCTCCATGCTTTTACATCTTCATGGGGTTGTTTAAGGTTCTTCATGCATGTGAGAATACATGTATTGACAAATTTGAACATGTTTGAATAGAATGGGATCAAGCTCACCAATGAACCTCCCAAAGGGTGCAAAGCAAATCTTTTGCAAACATATGCAAGCTTTGGGGATGAATTTGTGGAAACATGCTCTAAAAGAGCACCTTGGAAGAAATTGATGTTTTGTATCTCTTTCTTTCACGCTGGTGTGTAACTCTCAACTTTTTCCTTTTTCTTTACTTTTGCTTGTTACTTCATTGTATTTTCTTTTACTTTTTCTTAGGTTTAATTTGGTTGTTTTGGTACCCAGTGTATGAAATCTGGAGTTAATTCATTTTGATTGTTGGTTTTAGATGTCCTGCATCCACCTTGGTATAAATATTTTTTAAATGAAATATCTGTGAAAATGTGGTTTTGTATTGACAGGTTTAATATTTTTTGAACCATTGATTAGTGTCAATTTTCTAAAATTTACATCATCACACTCACATAATTTTTAGAGTTTTTACTTGTTTCTTCTTTGACAAGTGAACTAAAGAAAAGAGAGAGAAAAGATGTATTACAATTTAGATGTGTGTTAGATAATTGAAGGTTTTAGTTTTAAATATTTTTTTTCAATGAAAGGAATATAATTTTTACAGAAAGAAAGAAAGAAAAAATTCATTGTGATGTAAAAATAAAACAAAATAAAAAATAAAAAAATCTATTTCAAAGGAATTTAATAAATTTAATATATTATTGAATTTAACATGAGATGGTTCTCAAAGACCAAGGATATTTACTTGATTATTCACTTATTTGTTTTAATTGCCTCTTTCTGTCTTCATTTTTTTTTTTTTTTTTCCCCTTTATCCCAAAATTATGAACATTGAATACCACATCTTTTTCAATCATATATTATAATATCATTTGATAATTTTTCATACTTTTATAGTTTAAAAATGGAATTTTGAAAGGTTTATAGGTCTGAAATTATTATTCTGAAGTTTTGCACATATCTTTCATAATATCTCCATTTTGTTGAAGGCTTAACTTGAGAATTTAACTCATAACTAAAATTTTATTATTTTTAAATGAGAAAAGACATAAACCTGAACACGATGGCTGTATATATTTTTAATATTAAAAAACTCAATGAATGAATTAGTGAAGGGTTGTTTCACCAATGTGATTTTGATGTTATTCATAGTTTGAATAGCTCATACATTTAATGGACTATAATCAACTGATAGTAAAATATCAAAATAATTTGTAATTTTTAAAGTCAAAAAGTATTGCAAGTGAAATAATCCAGAAGATTTTATCCAGAAGATTTCAATTTTTTAAAGTCTGAAATGAAATTTCAACATGGAAATCTGAAGTTGATGTTGCTAGAAATTCACTAAACATGTAATAATCAACTTTTTTTAATCTCTCTTGTGAACATGTCAAAAAATCAGTTATACAAGAAAGGAGGAAATTTGGACCATTGGGATGGAACATAAAGTATGATTTCAACAACAGTGATTTAGAGTGTGCACTTTGTACATTGTTCATGTTTTTGGAGGAGCAAGAAGAAATCCCTTGGCCTGCATTGCTCTATGTGACAGGTTGATTTCCTTATTACCAAACTTTCTTTATATATATATATATATATATGAATAAAGTTTATTCTAGCACATGCACACACATAATCAAATACTAGCACTCTAAGTCATTCAAGTTGTTAATAGCAGATCAAATCTAATGAAAGCATTTCAAATTCACTTTATACACCTCAAAATCTACACAATGTGTTATCATGCCTTGCAGTCTCTTCTTCTAACTTTTCCACTCACAATGATAAAAGTTATCACAAATTTTTAATTTTTTTTATTAAAAAGTAAAGAATTAAGAATTAAAACCAAGATTGAGTTAAAATGCAATAAAAGCTCAACAAATCATGATCATAATCATTCAATACCCTAATTGACATGAAAAAACATAAAAAAATAAATGAAATAGGAGAAATCAATTATGGAGGGAGAGTTACGGACGACCTAGACCGACGGTGCCTCATGAGTAACCTTCGACACTTTTACAACCCAGTGGTCCTTGTAGACAGCTACAAGTTTACAAACTCAGGCATCTACAAACCACCACAAGAAGGGGTCCGACTTGATTATATAGAATACATCAGGTCATTGCCAAATAGTGAAGGACCAGATGTGTTTGGAATGCACGAGAATGCATTGATAACATTCCAACTCCAAGAAAGCAACAAGATATCAAATGTGATCTCAAGCATTCAACCACGAGCAAGTGGGGGAAGCAGAGGAAAGAGCCCCGATGAAGCTGTGGGCAATCTCGCACAACACATTGCCCTTAATTTGCCGAGTGCCTTGGACCCCCTCCTTGCCAAGCAAGCTGTGGCAACCTCTCCTTCTGGGATTAGCTCGCCTATGAGCTCGCTCACAGTGGTTCTTTTTCAAGTGGGTTTTTACTATTTTTATTTTTGTTATTGTAACAAATATTGTAGCAACATTCCTCATATAAAAAGTAACATAGAACCTTATATATAAATATCTAATTAAGGACTTTGATTGATGTTGAAATACATTAGTAAACTGAATGTGAAATAATAGGAGTTAAGAGAATTCAAATACCTTTGATATAATTTACATGTGTGTATACATGGGTAAAATTTTGAAGCTTTGGTTATATATATATATATATATATAAGTATACACACAAATAGATACGTAAAATATTTAGGAATTTAACAAACAGAGTGAGAAAAAGTGCAGGAATGTGAAAGGTTCAATAAACTATTAAGAGTGATGGTGTTCACATTAGCTGAATTGCAACGCGCAATCAAAGGATTGGTTGTTATGTCTGCTGAATTAGAAAGCATGTTTAACAACTTTTTATCAAATCAAGTACGACAACAAGATTAACTCAGAATAAAACCAAAAAACAATTCTCTCTTTTAACTATTATAATCCAATTTTGCAATACATTATGTACAATTTCTAGCACACAAACTACAAATATATGTAAATCTAAGGAAAAATCATGATGATGATCGAATTATTGTGCATGTCATAATATCTAACAAAAAAATCACACTAAAGAAATTCCACTTCAAGGACTCAACATAAACTTTAAACATTAGCATTAATTACAATAATGATAATAATAATAACAAGAATCAATGATGAAAATTATTTGAAAATTTTATAAAATGAAGATTTGAATGATTGACTTTAGGTTCCCGAACTATGGAAATCAGTGGCTTATCCATCGTTGAAGCCGCTTGCATCATGGATGATAGATTATCATAAGCGGATGGATTTCATGCTGACGTGGATTTTAACAGGAGAGCCCAAGTCATTTTGGCTTCCTGGGTTTTATTTTCCTCAGGTATTGAATGGCTTTGCAAATATTAATGCACTCCCTCAACTCTTAAATCATTGATTGAATGAATGAATATATATATATATATATATATGTGTGTGTGTGTGTATATATATGAACAATAATAGAAATTGTGATTTTTTTTATATTTAGTTTGTTATGGGAGAGTAATACTAAATATCAAGTTGAAATGTTTTATACAAAATAGTATATCATATTTATGTCTATCCATTATTTTAGTTAGTTTATATAGGTGACCACCTTCCAGTTAAAGAAATGACTTGAATGCTGTTTTCTGTGTTATCATTTGAAGAATGAAATTGACATGGAAAGTTGAAAACTTGTTATGGATTGAAAAATTGCAAAAGGTCTTTAGAGACTAGTTTTTTCAAATATTTACCAAATGAGACTTTGATGAAAATGATTTGATAAATTTATTTTTTCACTCCAACTCTTTATTCAAATCCAAGATTTATTTGTGTTTATAGTTCTTGAAACAAGCTAATTATTGCATTACCAAGAAATAAACACAAAAATTTCACATTTTAATTAATTATTATATATTTTTTTATTTTTTTTAGATTCCAGCAAATATAAACATATTAAGTGTTAATTTAATAAATAAATAATAAAAAACATTGGACCTATTGTATTTTTTTATAATTTTTAGGTATTTATATATATATATATATATATATATATATGTGTGTGTGTGTGTGTGTATTGACACAAAGACACCATCAATAATGTTTCATGTATTTCATGAGTCTGCTTAACAATTACTATGAATGATAAATCAACAAACAAGCATAAGACTATGTACAGAAATTGAAGTTAATGACTAATTCAACTTTCATGTATTTTGAAAAATCTTGTAGGGATTTATGACAGGGGCATTGCAAACACATGCTCGAAAGTATAAAATCCCTATTGATACATTGAGTTTTAGTTTCTCCGTCCTCCAAACAGAAAATGAAAATGAACTTCAAGAGGCACCCGAAAATGGGATCTACATCTACGGTCTCTATCTTGATGGCGCTCGTTGGAACCGTGATGGGCATTTCTTAGCAAAAGCCAATTCAGGTATTTTATATTCTAATTGAAACAATACAATTATTGCCACTAATAATATCAAGTTTTCAATTCAAAAACATGAGAAGTGAAAAATGTGATAAAAATTATCTGAATTTTCAGGTGAAATGTATTCAAAGCTTCCAGTGCTACATTTCATACCCATGGTCAATTATGTACCACCAGCAGCAAATTACGAGTGCCCACTTTACAAAACGCATGTGAGAGCAGGAGTTTTGACAACAACGGGAGCATCATCCAATTACATTTTGAACCTAAGCCTAAATATTGACCCTCTCACATTTCCAGACTTTTGGATTTTACAAGGAGTGGCTTCATTGTGCCAAGTTGTGTGACAACAAGGCAAGGCTTGTCACATTTATCATTTTTTGATATCACTCTTCTATTATCTTTCTTTGTATATTTTGTATTGTGGTCATGTAGGAAAAGAAAAGACAAAAAAAAAGAAAAAGAAAAAGAAAAAGAAACTACATGAGCAATAATTGTTGGGTTGACATTTTTGATGGATTTAGATTTATTGGAAAAAAGAACTGAGGTCTATTTTTTTTTGTGTTTTTATTGGGAAAGGTGATAGCCAGAGTTTCAGAACAGCTAACTAGGTTTTTAATAAATGGAACAAATGGATAGAAAAAAAACTAAGTTCATGTGGTACAATGTGATGATTCAAATATTGAATGAGTAAATTGTTCTGAAAATTTTCAGAAGAAGCTGCTTTTTATTTTTATTTTAGGGTCCAAAATGATGGACTCAACAAAATATGATTTTTTTATTTTTCTGAAAACCTCAAAATGTTGATCTTTTCATATAACTCAAATTTTTCTGTTTGAATGTGTATATATATATATTTGTTACATAGATAGTAATAAAAACCTGAGATGAAAGAGAAAAAGAGCAAGTGTTGTGTACACATGATGAAATAGTCTCCTACAATTTAATACTTTATTTAATTTTTGAAAATGATAAACATATTGAAACACTTTTGTCATTAAATTTAATATGATGTACCTTACAATAACTGTGATTTAACTATGTTATTTAACTATGGTATTCAAAAGTCATTAGATTCTATATTTATGATTTTCAATGTATAGTAATAATAATAATAATAATAATGGTTGTGTATATTTTTATGTACATATGTACATATTTACGTCACAAAATTTCCAATTCTTGAATGAAATAGTATAGAAATTGTACAAAGAATGTGAAATAGTAGAACAAGCATAATTTGATTGATAATCAAGATAAAACTTGAAGATTTTCATGGTGTCACCAAATTTCTCAAAATAGCTTCAAGTAAAACAAACAAATAAATTAAAAGAACAAAAAATCAAAAATTGTACAGTTCTGTGATATTTAAGTCGATGTTGTCCACTTGATAGTATTTCGTGGTTGTGTCTATGATTAGTGTTTTAGTTTCTTAATTTTTTAGTCTACAAATAGTGTATATAACACAAATATATATATATATATATATATAAACAGTAAGTCATGATACACTGTGATTGAAGTATTTACTTGAATAACTTTGTGATACAAATTTAGCCATACATGTATATATATATATATATATATATATATTTTTATATGTTACAAAATTTATTCTGAAATATGAAACTTATAATATTAGATATTAAAAAAATATTCATGCAAATTATCTTTGTACAATAAATCTTAGTGTAAATAATTAATCCATCATAAATTAAAAAATGACATTAAAAAAAAAAAAAAAACCAAGTCCTAATATAATTGATAGAAGATACCTAGTCTTGATGATAATTTTATTAATTCTATAATAATCCACATATATCTACAATGATTTATTTTTTTCTTCATAAATAAGATAGGTATTCTTGTTAAAAATTTTGAATGGCTTATGAAGTTTTTAGCCAAATTTTCCGGAATATGTTTCTTTAGTATAGCTAATTCATTTTATAATAAATTGTGAATTGGAAGTTGAGCTCCTTTTTGAAGATCATAACAACATAAAATTTAGCTAATATGTCAAGAATTTTTAATTTTTTTTCCTTTGTATTCTCAATTTGAATAAATAGCTCTTATAAATATTACTAGTAGATTGTTAAACTATCATAGAATACCAAATAGATTGATAAGGTTAAGTTAATAATTATAATCAAACATCATATAATGATAGGAAGAATCTAATATGACACTCATTGCACTTTGAAAGATGTTATTAATCAAGAAAAGTTAGATATTTATTTTAATTATTATTTATTATTTTTTCCTATGATTCTATGACCTCACGTGTTTGTTGTAGCCTACATGGTTATACAAAAAAAAAAAAAAATAACTATGCCATATCTAAGATGGATAATGGTTGGAATATAGGATCATTAAGAGTAAACTAAGTGATTATCTAATCAACATTGCATTGCTATTAAATTATCAAATTTATATTTCTAAGTATTGGTAGTACCACTTAGAAGTTAAGTCAAATATTGATTGTTATTACATTATATTCAATTAGCATATTGTAGTGATTTTAGATTTATGCATATTAAAAATGTTATTTTTTTTATTAAGCTTAATAATCCACTTGATGTTTGACACTCCTATAAATTTTAATAAAGAAAATTGATATTAAAAATAAAAAATCAACAAAAATTAATTGGTATTTGAATTTAATATTAATACTATCTTATTTTGATTTATTTTTAGTTTAAAAAATTATATCAAGATGAAAAAAATAATAGAATTTAATCACATTATCTATTTTGATTGTTGATTATATAAATTGATTTAAACTCTAATATAGATTAATAACTTATAAAAGTCTTAGTGATATATAGCAAAGAATAAATAAATTATAAGTAGTATTAATTAGTATTAGTAATTATTTTTAAATTAACAAATTAACTTAACAAACTAAATTAATGAGTAAATTCTCTTATTGGATGAACTTTCTTATTTGGTGATTTGTCTCTTTATATTTAAATTTATAACAATATTAGCTAAAACGACTTTAAAAAAATTGATACAAAAAATATAAATGGAGCAATCATAAGGAAAATCTTTGATAGAATGGTTTCTTTATAATCTTAACTTTTTCCTTCAAATAATTAAGTTTTTTTGCTAATATAATGAAAAATCATAAGTCTAGTACAACTTAATTTTATTTATAGATTCAAGAGCTTTTATGCATTCTGAAAAATTTAATCTATTTTATTTATTTATGCCATATCTATTTTAAATAATAAAAATAATTTAAATAATATTCTAAATTAATATAGAGACTTTGAAAATAAAAAATAATTAGATTAGAAGATATTAAAGATAAGAATTCAACAAAAATATATGAACAAGTAAAAAATGAATAAAAAAAATTACATATTAAAAATAAGAAATTAAATTTATTTAATAAAAAAATAGAATAGCTATTGCTAAATTTTAGAAAACTAGAGACTCTTGAAATTAGACTAAAAACAAGAAAAGGAATTGATGAGAATAAAAAAAAACTTTATTCTTGCCTCTATCTATACTATTTACCTAAGAGCTATATTGCAATATTCTATAGGACCTCCAAAATGTGTCCAATTCGTGAGTTATATGACTTAACTTGTAAGACAAGTTTTTTATATAAACACCACATTGTTAGCTTGTACTATAAGCTATCAATACATGTCATCCATGGCTAATTTGTTAGTAAAGTTTTTAACCTATTAATTTTTTTATAAATATGTATAAAGGTGAAATTGCATCCATGAAGCTTCTAGGAAGCTTTTCTATATAATATTAACAAATTAACCTACTTTTACCTACTTTTATATATTCATATTATCTAACTAAATATATGTATGTCCATGACAATACACTCGTTTTAAGAAATAAGTTCCACAAGGAGCAGTGATCATATGTTGAGAAAGTCCAAGATACAACAAACTGTATTTGCCACATACTTTGATTGTTATTTTTTCTAAAGGTAGTTAATAAGTCCTTTCAACCATTGTTAATGTCCAATTCTAGGATAAAAAGACCATCTTACTATTTAAGCATTATTGAAGTTTTTATAAATTTTTTCAAACAAAAGAGCATAAATGCCTCAAATTAAAATAAATTATGTAAGTAAATAATACATGCATCTTTAAATAAATTTAAGTATAAGTTTAAGGAAAAATTACATCAAATTATTTAAATTTAATGTCCAAAGAGGATTGGTTGTGAATCTAGATCAAAAGTAGACCTCAAGGAATAAAATCACATACCTATGGTAACTTTGGAATTCTTTTATAAATTAAAGAATATATTTTAAAAATTAGACTTAAAAAGAGATTTTTAAGAGTTAATTTTATATCATTTGGATCAGTATTGAGGTTTTGAAGAATTTTTAAAGTTAAATGATGTACTTGATAAATTTAGATTTAAAAAAATAAATTAGGTTTATAAGTTTGAGATTTTTTTGAGTTTTTTTGTATATTTATAAATAAAAATTTGGTAGTTTTTTGATATGCTTATTGTAAATATATGTGAAAAAATTTAGAATTAATTGAGTAATTAGATTGAAGGATGTGAGAGTTTTTATGGATTGTGGTCTCAAAAATTGGAATTTTAAAAACCAATGAGTATTTCTATGATGTTTATCAATTTTTCAATTGGATTAATATAAAATTTTGCTCATTAATAGCTAGCTTGACTTTCAAAAATTATTCAAAGATTAGAATCAATTGAATGATGAAATTAAGAAATGATAACTCTAGAATATCAATATCAAGGTTGGAAAAAGAAGCAAGCTAATACTTAAGTGGGATTAAGGAACTATTGTCTATTTGAAATGTGTAATCTTCTTCAAATTTTTTATGCTTTTTGCTAACTTAGATTTTGTAAAATTTATAGATTTTAAATCAAAATCAATAGTTTAATTTTTAGTTATTAAAATTTTAATATATTATAGGCTTATTAAGGTTTTATTTAAGATTTAATATTTGATTAGGTTTGTTTTAGGATTTATTTAGGATTTGGATGATATTTAGGATATTTCTAAGGTTTCATTAGGATTGATTTAGGGTTAAGGATTTTATCAGAATTTGGTTAGGATTTAGGATCTCATTAAGGTTTTATTAAGGTTTGATTCATAATTTGATTAAGCTTCATTAAGATTTTAATTAAAGTTTTTATTAGGTTTTAATTAGAATTTGTTTTAAGATTTGATTAAGCTTTATTAGGATTTTAATTAGGATTAAATTAAGATTAAATTAAGATTTATTTATAATTTATTTAAAATTTATATTTTAAATATTTTTTTAGCTTTAATATTATTTCTTTAATATTTATTTTTATATTTATTTAAGATTTCTAAAATAGATCCTAAAAAGATTCAAACTATTGTAAATCAAAAGTTCTCAAAAATAATTAGAGATGTATAATTTTTTTTAGGCTTTACTAACTATTATCAAATCACCATTAAGATTTTTTTTTAAATTGTAGCTCCTCTTACATGATAGGCATTTAAAGACAAACTTAAGGAGAACAAAGAAGTTAAAGCATTTTTTGGAGCTTTCAAGACAACATTTATTTCTACACCAATCTTGATTGCGTCGACTTTTTTGAGGTATTCTTTATAGAAATAGATGCATTAAACTTTGCTTTAGATTTTGTTTTTGTCACAAATGGCAAAAAATGACAAGCTCCATCTTATAGCTTTTTATCCTAAGAAATTTTCAGCAGCCCATAATAACTATGAGATTTGCATCAATAAGCTTCTTA